AGAGGGATGCTACTGCACTTTCTAAAATGCTCTGAGAGAAAGCCTGGAAGGCCCTAAATAATTCACACTCTCCCTCTGAGTCTGGGCTTCTGGATGTGCAGTCAGTTCCTCCCTGTGGCAGTAAATGGCCTTCCTTTTGAGACCCCTGATAATTCTGACACTAATGGCTCAATTCAGACAGGGCTGGAACTCTCAGGTATCATCCATTTCAAAGGGAGTAAAGTCATCTCAACAGGGGGGACCCTTCAGCGATCTTCTAAATTGCTAACAGCACATTTCTCTTCCCCCTTTAAAAGCTATTTCTCTAAAAAATCACACCAGTGTTTGGTGAGACTTCTCTGTAGTTTCACTTCAGGTCAGCTCTCAGGCATTTCTAGAGCTCCATCCAGAACCACTGAAACATTGTTGCTGCTTCGTCCTCACTTCCTTGGGGTAAACTGAGTGACTGCCTGGTACTTGCAAATAAATCTGCTGGTCCCAGATGTACCAGAGGGCTCAGGTTAACACAATACATAGCCTACTCAACTCGCCAGCGCCAGGTGATTCACTTAGCTTCCATGGCTGATGCCTGTGCTCACTGTGAAGTTGCATTGCTAGTGAGCTTATAAGAATAGAAACAAAGACTCTTGCTGACCTGAGAAGGGAGCTCAGAAGTAGAGATCTAAGCAGCAGTCCAGGAAACTGTCTCAAGGTAACAGGGGGCAAGATGACATCCAGCAAGCATGAAGGATAAGAATCCATCTCTGCTCCTGTTCCCAGATTTGGCTCCAAGGCTCTTGAGTCAGCCACAGGCTCAGTCACTCTCAAGTAAAAATGGGCCTGCTCTCAGACTCCCTCTCATACAAAGCCATACAAATGTCTCTTTACCAAAGAACCATAGGTTATTTATTCATGCACAAGCACACAGGACAATTAAAAACAGAATGTAAGGTCACTTACAAGTACATAAACAAAAAATCATAATAAAGAAACATAAATCACAATAAATCAACCTAAATAATAAACAATAGAAATAAACAATGTGCAGGAAGGTTCTGTCCTGACTGCTGTGGTAATGAGCAGCAGGTCAGTGCGCTTTCTCGGATCGTTTGAAATGCTGTTTCGATCGTTTGCACAGATCATGTCGCTGCCTCCTTGGAAATCTCTCTATGCTAATCCCGATATGTTAATATGTGTGAACATGTACTCTGACTTAGATAAACACAGCATTAGATTAAATAGAAACCACGTCTCACTTCGTATTCTGAATTTTGCTTGGCATTGATAAATGCTAATGCGTCTCTAAGGCGGCTTCTTAGTGAGTGTCCACAAATGACGCAGCTCAGAACATTTTCTTTCAAAAACCTAGCGGCTTGCTATGTTTGACTTGCTGTTTTGAGACAGTCTCTAGTAGTCCAGGCTGGCTCTGATCCTCCTGTCTTCTTCACCTGTCCACACCCCCAATCAGTAGGGTTGTGGCCATGGATTGACTCGTACAGCTGCCAAATCTACTACATGCAGTCGGTGTCACTCCCTGTCCCTCACCAAGCATTTGCATATTCATGTGCAAATACTGAAGAGACTGAGGGACTGTCACCTTTTACTCAGTTATTCAGCACAAGTGACAGAGGCAAGGAGAGAGAAAGGCAACAGAGCACACAGAAAGCTCGCATCACATGCAGCCTCAGAATTTACAGCTGCCCAAACTTTCCAGTCTAAGGAGACTAGAAGAATCATTTCAGACCTAGAAGGTATCCATGAGACTATATTCATGCCATCATTTATAGGCAAGCAGGCTTTATGAAGGTTCAGTTACCTGAAGCCACATATCAGGTTGGCTGCAGAGTTAGGAACAGAATCGGTATCTTTTGTTTCTAGAGTTATCTTTTTATCAAATAACAACCCTAAACCAGTACACTACAGTCTACATGTTGTTGATGTTTTTCTTATCTTCATCCCTATGTTGTATCCTGTGATGACCTGGATATGAAGTCATTCCTCCCCATCAAAGTCTTTTGTGTGGAAGGCTTGATCCTTAGCTGATGTATCTGATGATTATAACTGGGCCATAGTGGCTCTGACCCAATCAATGTATTGATCCATCAATGGATTCATGGCTTTGTTTGAAGGCCAGGGGAACTGAGAGGGCCAGTCCTTGGGGCTATGCCTTGCCTGAGGACCCTTCTTGTCTCCCTTTGCTTCCTAGGTACCATGATGTGAGCAACTTCACTTCGCTATGTGCTTTTGCTGTCATGATATTCTGCCCTATGGCAGACCCACAGCCATGGCTAAAAACAACAACAGCAGAAGCCTCAGCATTAGTGAGGCCAAAGCTTGCCTGTTGGGAAAGGGCTGCTCTCCTGTGACAGCCATGGGAGTCTGAATAACTGTCTCCACAGTGATGCCACTTGTAAGGTGACCAGGCCAGGAGGGCAGGGCCTTCTTGAATGGGGCTAGTGTCCTTATAATAGGGGCTTCAGAAAGATTTGCCCATCCCTTCTGGCATATAAAGTTACTGGCAATACAGAGCTCTTTTACAGTGAAACAGTTCCTGACCTTGAATCTACCGATATCAGAACCAGATCAATCAAGTCCAATCAATCATCTTGGACTTGCTACTGTCCAATATAAGAAATGACTTTAGAGCTACATCAATAAAGATGGGTGGGTTCCAGGTGAGATTGGAAAGCTGCTGCCATATTTGTCCTGTCTCTTAAGTTCTGTGACATTGTATGGATGTCATTTTTTTTTTTCATCCCATTTTTGAAAAATGGTATCTTCTAGCTCAGGTGAGTGCCAAATTCACTATGTTGTAGAAGATAATGTTGGGCTTTTGATCCTTCTGTCTCCACTTGAAGAGTGTGGATTTGCACACAGAGTTCTTGCTTATTTCCTTTTTTTTTCTGAATTTCAAGTTGCTGGATATTGGATATTTAGACTAAGTAAACAAGGTTTTGATTTTGTTGTATTTAAAGGATATGAGAAGAAAAACAGTCTTTTTTGTTTTTTGTTTGTTTGTTTGTTTTTGTTTTTTTAAAGGCAAGAGCAGGGGAGAAGGAAAGTTTCTGAGCCAATACTATAGACAACGTTGAAGGATTTCCCCCTGTTAATTATATTTTAGACATTTGGAAGCCACAGATGGTAATAACTGCCACTAAGTCACTCGGGCTGGCTCTGCAGTGGATGAGCAAATTAGGAACAAATTAACCTCTCCAGAGACCAGAGTGTTCCTAACTAACAGTTCACCCCTTCCTAACACCTGGATAGTGGAATTTAAAATGTGAGAAAGCAAAAGCTCAGACAGCATGGGAAGAGACCAAACATGGAAGCCAATGAGGCTCTATCTCAGTGTGGGGTGCCGAGGATCTCGGTCTGAGTGCTGACATCTCAGTACGGGGTGGTGATCTCAGTCTTGAATGCTGTTAGCTTCTATTCTGGATGGTTGGTATTAAGATGTAATAACCTTCTATTGTGCAACAATATCTTTCCCTCTTTCTCCTGTCTGACTTTGGTTAAAATCAGTAGTACATGAGGTCTGGAGGAGGAGGTGGTGACCTTCTGGTTTTACAACACAGTGCCATTTATTTATTCATCCACGTGTATCCAGTCTCCACCAGACCTGCCACCCTGCTCTAACAGACAGCAATGACCAAAGCCAAGTTGAACTCATGCTGTGAATGACATAGATGTTTGCTTAGTTCCTCAAGGTTTCCAAAGAGTCTGAAAATTTTTCTGTCTCTCAAGCACTACCTGCCTGCCCACCCCATAGAAAGGCCCTAAGAATCCCTTTAACATTATCTCTGGAGTTGGAAAGCTCTAAATCTGTCTGCAGCATCTGAGGCATTAATCAGCCATATGCTGTCTAAGGACCCCATGACCACACATCACACACTTTATCATTAGAACAAGTCAATGGAGTATTAGCTCAGTTATATGAAGAAAAGAAGAAGGTTTACAGGGTTAATTTTCAAAAGATCGCATGATCGCTAAGCTTGGGAACCTGGACCCTTGAACTTCAGGACTGTCTTTATTTCTACTGCTTGTTGATTAATTCTGCGCGGAAGGATTTGTCTCTAAAGTTCAAGGCCAAGAACATGCACATGTCTGAACAACATGGACAAGGCTCTGAGTTTTGTGTGGTGCTGGGGATCAAACCCACAGCAGACTGGGGAAGCCATGGGGTACAAGCCAGTAAGCAGCATCCTTCCACGTCTCTGCTCACTCCCTGCCTTGAGTTTTTACCTAGACAACCCTCAGTGATGGACTGTTATGTGGGAGTGTAAGATGAAATTCACCCTTTCCTTCTCAAGCTGTTTGTTTTCTGGTCAGTATCTTATCACACCAATAGAAAACAAACCAGGACACTGAACTACACCCCGGCCTTAAATTTCATCTTACTAAAGGTTTCAATGAGTCTAAATAATACTGCACTCAGTTTCAATAAAACTGGTTTTATCTCATGGGCTACATAACAGATAATAATGGCATAAGAAGGAAGTCTGTGTGTGGCTTCACTGAGAAGTGTCATTGGACCAGATAAAGGGTGTGAAGTCAACCAGATGTTTATAGTGGTGTTAGAGAACAGATGCTATTTGAGTTGTTGAGGAAAAGAAAGCCCAATACAGCAAAAACCTCAAGGAGTTAAGCAAGTACCACTTGAGAAAATACAATCTCTGATATTAAAAAAAATTACCCAAATCAGATACACCTGTGAGATTACTAGATGTAAAGTTGTTTTTTTCTTCTAGTATTTGAAATCGAAGTGCCTTCCAGAGGTTAGATCGATAGCAGCACAGTTGATAAACAGCCAGAAACACTCCATTTAAAGTGAGCAAAAGCTTAAAGGGATTTGATATGGAAGGATCATTGCCCGGAACAGTTCTGACACTGAAACTGCAGAGAATAAACTCACCAAGTGATAGAGCAGTTTATCCTTAATCAGGATAGATTAAGAAAAGACCCAGGTTTAACCCGGGTCTGGGAGTTCTGCGGGGGAGGGCTCATGTGAGTTAGCAACATACCTGCTTCATCGTAGGATACTGTCAACTTTTCCAGCATTTCTCGGTCAATTGACAAGATCTGCTGCTCGAGGATGGTCTGGTAAGTCAGAACACTGTTTTCTTTGTCCTTCTCGTAATCCTGAAGGTGCTGCTTCAGAGCCTCTGGGAGTCGTGATTTTACATATTCTGCTGCAGTCTGTAGATAAACAGAGAACCCCATTAATACCCATCGTAGGCTTCTCATCTACTCCCAGAGGCTGTAGAGAGTTCTCACAGCACTGTGGAACCAACCTCCTTGTCATTGTGACTTTTAGATTCCAATACATGCAGTAAGATGGGTCTTCAAACTGTCAGAGCCCCATAACCCTAGGAGTCTTCCATTCTAGTTTAAAGGCATGGGAGATGACAGATTGCGCATACAGTTAGCACTCAGGTTTTCAATTCCAACGAGTTCAGAAAGGCTGGATCATGTTTGTCTGGTACACATCTGTAAAAGACATTGCCAGCCTCTGAAGCCCACATCTCCATTGTACATTGCTGGTCTCCACCTGCCAATGTTCAAAAGAAGTCCTGTCTTCACAGTGGAAAGACACTTCTGCTAGGACAGATACTGAAGTTCTGGGACACATAAAAAGAGGAATCTATGCTGGCAATGGTAGAGCAGTTGCTCTCTAGGTCCTAGGCTCAATACCTCGAAAGAAAGAAACAAAGAAAGAAAGAAGGAAAGAAGGAAGGAAGAAAAGAGAGAGGGAGGGAGGGAGAGAGAGAGAGAGAGAGAGAGAGGGAGGGAGGGAGGGAGGGAGGGAGGGAGGGAGGGAGGGAGGGAAGGAGGGAGGGAGGGAGAAATTTTTATATTATTGTTATTATTATCATTATTATTATCACTACTATGTCAATTGGTCCTTTTGTCTGTTAGCCTGGAGTTTGCTTCTACATCCCCTGTATAACATATTTCCAACTAGTAACATCTGAAATTACATGCAGAGAGTCTCGCCCAGTTAGACACAGTCCACCTGGGGACAGGAGGGATGACATACTTTGAAGAAGGCCTTCCTGAAGATTCTGATGGGTTCCTCTGGAAGAATGGGTGGTTGAATATTCATTCTCCCTCCCAGGTGAGACTCACTATGGCAGTTAAACCTTATTACATGGGACATAAATGGCACAGTGATATGTGTGAATCAGAGGAGTTCTGTCATTCCTAAGCTGTATCCCTGGAGAGTGTCAAGTGTGACATCTCCTTGTACTTCACACCTGTTTCATCCACACACTGTCTAAAGGTAACAATCCAATAAATGAGGGTGAACATACACTGTTCAAAAGTAGGATACGCTTGGCAGTTCACAGCTGGCTGTAACAGCGAGTTCAAGGCCAGTCTGTGCTATATGAAACTGACTCAAAAACAAAAAAGATATGCTGAAAAATTATATCTGTAGCCACTAAGAATTTCAAGGACATTGTTAATGAGAATCAATTTAGTTTGGGTCCAGAATAAAAAAAAGACCCATTTACATAGTCTCATACAACTATTTATTGTTAGTATTTTAAGTTATGGGCTACAAATAAATGAAAATCCCTCATGTTCATGTATTAGAAGATTATTATTATCCAACGTGATCCATAGGTTCAATGCAAGCCCTACACAGTACACAGTGTGATCCACAGATTCAATGCAAGCCCTACACAGTACACAGTGTGATCCACAGATTCAATGCAAGCCCTACACAGTGTGATCCACAGGCTCAATGCAAGCCCTACCCAGTGATTCATAGATTCAATGTAAGCACTAACAGTGGTGAATGTGCTGAATCCTAGCCACTAGACCACTAGGGACATGGCCAACAGTGATCTATAGGTTCAATACAGTCCCTACCCAAAGTACCAAAGACATTTTTCACAGCAGTAGAAAAAGATCCTAAAATTCATATGAAACACAATCTCAAATATATAACATTAAGAAGATTTCCAGCCCACTCGTGTACATAAAATAAATAAATAAATCTTAAAAAAAAACAAGAAGTAGATTTCCTAGAACTACAGCATATGGTTATCAGAGGCTGGGTAGTAAGGGAGGGAGTGGGAGACACTGTTTTTAAGGATTATTTTCCTACTAGAGTGGAGGGATACATTTCAATAGATCTAATAAAAAATGGTGACCACCAGTAATAATGATGCATTCTATTCAGAAAACTTCGGAGCACGGAGGCTGTGTGATGAGGTCATCACTAACAGGATAGGCAGGTGACATCATCTTGGTTCATTTGTTTTGAGACAGGGTCTTCCCAGGCATTACTGGCTGGCCTGGAACTTGCTGTGTAGACAAGGATGGCCTTAAACTCATGAGATCTCTGCCTCTGCCTCATAAGCTCTGGAATCAAAGGTGTGTACCACCATACCCAGTTGCTAATGTAATTTCATTTAGTTAAATTTAACTATTCCATAGTGTATATAATTTCTGTTCATTGAAAACAGAAATAAAATATGCATACTTTAAAATAAGACTCTGTGTGTGTGTGTGTGTGTGTCTGTGTGTGTTGCAAATCAGAAGGCCAGAGTGTTTCTTTACAGAATAAGAGGATCTATATTCTTTGAGAATCATAGAGCAGGTGCTAAGTGGGCAAGGAAGAAATCACGAAGTGCTGATGAGATTACAAGCAAAGCTGTTAAATACCAGACACCGTCCATCCCTCCCGTGTAAAGCACACACACATGCACATACTGAGTATAAGGACACAGAAAAGGATACACCCCAACTGTAAAAGATGCTTCTTGCTGTCTGTATTTCAGGAGTGTTTCCATTTCCATGATTACTGTCACTTAAAATGTATTTCCTTGTATCCTTCATAGATTCCCTCGTAAATGCCACCACAATTTACCGTGGACTAGGCTTTCCAGAAGGTATACTGGGAAGTGGTGGGCAAGCTATGATTTGGGCCCACAGAGTAGCTAACGATAGCGTCCAACAGTGACTTCCATATTTACAAGTTAAATTCCTGAAATCGGATGCTGATGATGTTACAGCTTCAAAATATCACCAACTAGAGCTCACTTTTTCTGGCAGCCAGCAAGTGCAGAACAAATAAAATTATTCCCTAAAGTGTAAATGGACTCAGCAGCACATTAGCATAACACATTGAATTCTAGAGTTTAATAACAAGTTTCTCCTGACATAAGACAGCAACGTGCTGATACTGCAGAATAACTATATTTAAACACTCTACCCTGCTAGCCAGGGCAACATCTGTCTTTAACAATGTGTTTGTTGGAATATTTTATGAGACATGGGAAAGGGCTCTATAATTTATTACATTTTAAAATATTGATCTATTCTTCATTACTGAAAACACACCACATTATTTCTTCCCAGTTGTGCCTCCTGATGGTGTTTAAAATGAAATTTACTTTCCTAATTACAGTCATACTGCAGGTCTCAAAAGAGTTTCTGTGTCTACGGTATCAGGGCTACACTTTGGCATTTCAATTCTGTAACTCCATACACAAAGCTCTTGCTGAAGATTCATAAGGGAAACAGAAGGAGACAACTCTCGGCAAATATTAGATTCTGTTGTGATATTTCAAGAGCCCCCTTTACACAGAGTGACACTTTAAATGGATTCAAATGGCAGCTAACCCTTATGTTCAAGCAGGAGCTTATGTTCAAAGCCTATTTTTAAACGAGACTGGAATGATCTCAGAAATAAAAGAAAATTCAAAGAATAGTTTAAAATAAAAGATTTTACTGACATTCTAAAATTGAACTCAGAAAATTAAAATTTGGAATTACTTACTCTTTATTTTCATTTTAGATTTATTTTATGTGGATAGGTATTTTGGCTGCACATATGTAAGTGCACCACACTTACCTAGTGACCGGGGATGTCACAAGAAAGCATTAGATGCCCAGGAACTGGAGATATGGATGATTGTGAGTCACCATGTGGGTTCTGAGAATAGAGCCTACAAGAGCAGTGCATACTCTTAACTTCCCGAGCCATCCCTATGGTCTGGATTTATCTATTCTTTAATCCATGACAGACATTCTTGGTGGTGCAGACCCTAACTTGCCCACTCTTATGACTTTAACTATTTCAGAGACAATAAAATAGACTCTCTCATTTATTCAGTACTTTCTCAAGTGATCTATGCCTTTGTCATTCTTCCTCCATAAAAACACTGAGGGGAAGTAGAAAGCCATGGGTTTGGTGAGGTTCTTCCTGTCATTCCATTTGGCTCAGATGCTCTGCACAGTTAGTGCTGTCCAATCTAACTAACTTCCATGGGCTGTTCTCAGAGTACCCACCGGCTTTCCAACTATTTGTCCAGGTATAGGGAGCTTAGCCACTTAGTATGGTGGAAATCAGTATTGGATCTTACATACTGTCATGGACTAACGGTATCTGCTTCGGAATTTGTACAATGGAAGCTTAATACCTTGACAGTATGCATGCACTGGGTACTTTGAGATAGCTTTGGGAGAGAACTCTTTGATGGTGATGATCCGTTGCCTACAGACTTTCTGCTCACAGTTCTAGATATAGACTAGGAGTCTGGTCTTCTACTGGGAACCAGAATGCACCTAGCCTTCAGTTATTATTAACACCTTTGTTTTGAAGAGTAACAGTTCACATCCAAGCCCATGCCATCCAAGCAGCAGATGACGTGCTTCACATAAAGCTGTTTATGGTACTTTTCTTCATGCCTCCCTCTCCATAACCATTTGCTTTCTACTGTTTCACTTCATTTTTTGGCCCTCAGCTTGGTTCTGCTAGGAACCCTCTTTAGAGTCAGAATGTGCCCAAGGACTGAATGTCTCAGCTATGTCTTTGGAGCTCTTCCTAGGCATACAGGTTTGGACTTGAGTAGGTTGTTAGACTTAGTCTGGTCAGTGCAAGAAGTGGAAGAAAAGTCAGATTGCCTCCGACAGGACCTCAGCAGATAGTGGCTTCTAGAAGAATTGGAGTGAAAGGAGCTGACTTCTTGGGGAAGCTCAGGAAAGACCTGCTTCCTCACTGTACCACTCAAAACAAGAAAAGGATAGAGTGGGTATAAAAGGAACCCAGTGACTAACAGGAAGGGTGTGGAATGATGAAGGACCTGAACTCTGGGAACCAAGCATGGAGAGCGCTGATCCCATTCATTGGGCTAAAACCCACTCACTATTACAGCAGTGTCTTCTTTAAGAAATAATTGATATGG